CCATGGGCTTGTTGTAAGAGTGACAGTTAAATCCAACTATTCGATCTGATAAAGGTATTCCTAGTGTTGGCGGTGGGTGGTAATGATTAGTGCTGCCTTTTCTCTAGTCTGTCACTAGGGACGGCTAGCATAGGTAGAATTCGTGCAGCTTTGCGTGAAATTCAATAAACAAACAAACTTATTTTTGGTAAGTTCTCAACAATTCCAGGATCATACGTTTATTACCGTTATAAATAAAATATTTTAAGTACTAAGGTCTTACATGTGCATACCCATTGTAGGTAAACTATAATGAGTTTGTTTGTTTGGAATTTTGCGCAAAACTACACGAGGAGCTATCTGCGCTAGCCGTCCCTAATTTAGCAGAAAAAGACTAGAGGGAAGGCAGTTAGTCATCACCACCCACCGCTAACTCTTGGGCTACTCTTTTACCAACGAATAGTAGGATTAACCGTCACATTATAACGCCTTCACAGCTGAAGCATGTTTGTTGGGACGGGGATTCGAACCCGCGACCCACAGATTGCGAGTCGAGCGCCCTAACCACGTGGCCATGCCGGGCACACTATCCTCAAACCGGCAATATTTAGTAGTACAAAAGCATTGGCGATTTTATTCTTTAAAGCATATAAAAGCTGCACGAAAAAAATTCCCAATGGCGATGAAAGAAAAAATGTTTGTTTGAAGTTATGCACAAAGATACACAATGGGCTTTCTGTGCTCTTCTCACCACGGGTATCGAAACCAGGTTTCCAGCGTTGTAAGTCCGAAGACATACCGCTGTGCCACTTGGGAGAAAAATAAAATAAAAGAGTTAATGTATTGTCCAGAGTTTCAAAAGACGGGTTTACGCACGATATATTTTATGAACACTAGATAAAGGACCAACTTTTACAGATTTAAAGTAATTTTCCATTTCAGCATTTTGAAGAACAGGCAGATTTTTTTAAGTTTAAGTAATATTTTAATAAATCTAGACGTTATTTTCGTGTAGAAGCTTATCACAAAGGAAAGTTAATTATAGATAAGCTGTCATAAAACTTAAAGGGTCCTTTGTGATTTTTAAGTTCATTTTTATCTTAAATTTTACAGAAAAATGTAATCAAAATATTTTTGCTTCGGTCAGAAATTGATTATATAGTTTTAATAATTGAATTTCATTATAAAATAACATCATAGGCTTCTTATTGACTTCTACAACTCAATGACAAGTGAAAAATCGAACGATAGATTGGACTTAACAATAATTTGTATTGTTTTGAAAAGTTTGATGGTTGAATAATTTACATGAATGAATTAATATCATCAGTGCTACATGTTATTGAAATCCTATACAAATATAAGGTCACTGTGGTGAGGAATAGAAACCTCAAAACACCTACACTTCTTTGATTGTATATTTTGAATAGAATACGAAAAGTTGGGACAAACATTTTAAAGATTTGTCAAAAAGAAATAAAAAAAATTACTTTCATTGTTGAATGAAGCTATTCATGTTATTTTGTATTTTTCATTTCTTAATTTAATTTTTCTAGAAATTCCCATTGAAGGCTAAATACTAACATTGCAACCTCACACGTGTTAATAATATTAGTATTACCACAACTTAAAACTATTTCAAAGATAAAGGGGTGTGTGTGTGTGAGAGAGAGTATTTTCAGTTAACTATATTTATCTTGTAAAAGTACAAATTGTAATATATTAATATTATTGCATCTTAGGCATCAGAGCCCGCATTTTGGTCACTGAAAATTGTTTGCCTAACAACTCGATACCAAACCAATCACCCATTGGACTTTTATATGCCTTCAAGTTCGAACGATGAATGGAAGCACTTTTGTTTATGCACGCAATTTTAAGCACTTCTGTTATAGAAGACATCCAAATCTGGCTCTTCAAAACGATATTTTAAGCTGTAATATGAAACCACGTGCTTGGTAGCTAAACGTGTACATGACCTGTTGAGAATTGCTGATGTTGCTTAAAACTGTGGCCCGGCATGGCCAGGTGGTTAGGGCGCTCGACTCGCAATCTGCGGGTCGCGGGTTCGAATCCCCGTCCCAC